GTCAACTGAAGAAGTACATACTACAATACCTGCAAAGTTTGCAGCTCCAGAGCTCAGGTTCACATTGCATGAATTCTCCCCTCCACTGCTGGTTTGGAAGTGTTGCAGCAAGCTCATGAGTTGACCATATTGTTCTTTGGTGAAACTCATTCCCTGATTCTCATTATGGTGGTCACCCCTATCTCCATTACAAGTTATCTTGTCAGTTGGAGGACCATGTACATTTACTACTGTTCTTTTTCCTCTATTGAACCTGAAACCTTGATTGGGATTTGGAAGTTCTGATTAGCTCCTTGAAACTTCTGATTGTTACTTTGAAAAGGCTTATTGGAGTTCTAAGAGCCTTGAGGATACCCATGAAATTTATAGCATCTATCTTTGGTATGTCCTGGCCTTCTACAATGCTCACACACAAGACGAGGTCTACTATTAGATGTATAGTTATTTCCTGGGTTATAGTTGGTCTTGAAAGCAGGCTGTTTGGAGGTGTTGACATTCAAAGAGGCATATTCACACATCAGTTGCTTATTAAGTTTGATCTCTCTTTTTTTCTCCTCTTGAATTAGCAAAGAGAAGGCTTGGGCCAAGGATGGAAAGGGATTCATCATGAGAATGCTTCCTTTTACCACATTAGTGTACACTTCATTAAGTCCCTTAAGGAACTGGATCAATCGTCTATCTTGTTCAGCTTTATGCATGTTCTCCTTGGCTTCACAAGTACAATTGCAACTGCATTGTGTTTTTACACTTAAGGTGTTGAATTCATCCCACAACTTCCTCAGCCTGGTATAGTAGCTAGTAATGTCTAGTGTTCCCTGCAATAGATCATTTATCTCCTTTTGAATTTGGTACAGCTTCACACCTTTCGTTTGATCATAGCGATCCTCCAGCTCTTTCCACAATTCGACAAAATCATTGACATACTCCACACTATCAGCAATTTCCTTCCCCAAGGAATTCCAAATCCATGAGGTGACCATATCTTCACACCTCTCCTATAGTCTATATTTTGGAGACTCTAGATCTGGTTTCTTACAATCACCATTAATGAAACCTAGTTTGTTTTTAACTGACAATGCTCGAAGCACACTTTGTCTTCAAGATCTATATCCAATCCCATTGAAAGGAACTGGTACCAACATTGCACCAGGATTATCCGATGGATGCATGTATAACAGACTACTTGAGTCAATAGTGGGCTCCTTGCTCGAGTCCACATCGATGTGTTCGATTTCTTCATTATTAGCCATGAGAGTTACTCAATCAACAGTATTTGAAATGAAAAGAGGAATAGAGAAGCAGAGATCTAAGAACCCTAATTTTTGCGAAGAGAATAATTACCTGCAATTGCAATGTGCAGATCCAGCTATCGATGATCTACACCAATCTTATACGTGTAGGATCAACCGCGCTCTGATACCATATCAAAGTCAGCAGAGCAAAGGAACAACTGAGCTCGAGAAGAGCTCAATGGTGTGAATGGAGATTTAGAGAGGAAGACTGAAATTGAGAGCATCTTCGAGAAAGGAGCAAAATGAAATTACGAAATGAAATCTCAATCACATTATCTCAACAAACTAGTATATATACAATACACAATCAGAGAAGAAAGAAACTAACGGAGCCCAGCTCCCAAATAAGTGACTAACTAACCTTTGGAAGTCTAACTAACTCAACTAACCTAACTGATTGGTACTACTCTTAATGTTGTAAGTACAACTACCCTAAAGGGCTATAAATAATGCAGAGTCTATCTCAATAACTAGATTATGAGGGGACTTTCAGCCCAGTTGCAAAAATGGTAACAATAAGAACCATCTTCTCCGTTGCAGCATCTAAGAATTGGAAGTTGTGGAAATGTGATGTAAAAAACGCTTTTCTTTACGAAGAATTGGATCGTGTTATTTTTATGGAACATCCTAAAGGTTATGTCTCTACGCAATATCCTCAGCATGTTTGCCGGTTGAAGAAGGCGTTGTATGGTCTTAAACAAGCACCACGTTCTTGGTATGGTAAAGTTGCTCAATACTTTATCTTTTGTGGCTTTAAAGTTTCTGATGCAGATTCTAGTTTGTTACTGAAATAGAATCAAATATGCACTTGATGGTCTTATTATATGTGGATGACATGATTATTACTGGATATAATAAAGCTGAGATTTCTAAGTTGAAAAAAGCACTATCTGTTCGATTGGATATGAAGAATTTGGGAGAAGTTAGTCGTTTTCTTGGTCTTGAAATTGAAAAAACAGATCAAGGATAATTTGTTTCTCAAAAAGGCATATGCAAGAAAGTTGTTGCAGCGTTTTGGCATGGGGGAGTCGAAAGAGAAAGCTGCTCCAATTGAGCCACATCTCAAAATGATGAAAGATGAAGGAACACAATTAAAAGATGCTAGAAGTTTTCGGCAGCTTGTTGGTAGTTTAATTTATTTAACTATCACAAGACCTGAGATTGCTTATTCTGTTGGAATTGTTTCTCAGCTCATGCAATGTCCAAGAATTTCACACCTAGATGCAGCAAGAAGAATTCTTCGTTATGTGAAGGGTTCACTTGACCATGGTCTGATGTATAAAAGACATGAAGAATTCGTATTAAGTGGCTTTACCGACGCGGACTAGGCTGGAGATTTGAATGATAGACATTTAACTTCGGGATATTGTTTCAGCACAGGGTCAGCCATGGTATCTTAATTGTTACTTTCTGGGTACTCTCTACTTGGTGGACATTATTGTTAGAAATTATTCTACCTGATTGGTATTACTATATGCACATTTGGTAAGGATGAGATGAATGCACGAAGGGTATTGCCGTGCTAATTGACTTGACGCATAATTATTTATACATGGTGAGGAAGAGATGAAAGCACGAAGGGTGTTACCTAGCCATTTGACATGATATCTTGGATATACTTTATAGGAATTCTTTGGATATGATTCTTTGTTAGTTGTTCGAGTTTTTTTAGGAGTTGAATGTTAGTGGTTCGGTCTTATTTATATACTTTGCATATCCTGCTGTAAACCAGAGTTCCAATGAAAGCATTAACATTCTTCAGTGTTTTATTTCTCCAACAATTTCTCTAACTGCAATTTCTTCTTTCCTCTGTTGTTTTTTGTTTTATTTTATTCATTATGTGGCGGATACAACTTTAGGTTAAGCCTCGTTGGTTGATCATATTGTGTGTGTCATTAGGTTAAGCCTCGTTGGTTAATCATATTATGTGTGTCATTATTGGTAAGTGTTTCAATCATTTCACGTTTCGCAAGAATATTTAAGAATGTCTTGGATATAAACTTACAATAACAACAAACCCAGTGTAATTCCATATAGTGGGTCTGGGGAGGGTAGTATGCATGTAGATCATACCCCTATCTCGTGGAGATAGATAGGTTGTTTTCAATGGACCTCGGCTCAGTGAAGCATAAGCACAACATCAATAATAATACTACTAGTAAGAACAACAACAAAAAAAAGCACCTGGTCACCTAATCTTCTACCCTAATCCGATTTTTGTTTTTGCTACAGATAAAAAAAATTGAGGTTTCCTTATCATTTAAGATAAAGAGGAAAGGTTCCTGATTTTTTGTAATGAAAAGTTTATCTCTGGTTTGAAATACAGTCAAACCTCTCTATAACTGCCTCTATTGTTTCGATATTTTTTGGCTGCTATAGTGAAGTGCTGTTATAGAGAACATATATTATAATATAATATTAAAATAGGTTCCAAAAAAACTTGGCTTTTATAGTAAATGGTTGTTATATAGAGATGCTTACGGAGTCTTCTACTTGCACTAAAAGCAGGAACACTGTCCACGCTTCGTTGTTTTCGTATTGTTGTGGGATTAGAAAGGGGGTTTGCGTGTTGATATCGTTGCTGATGATTAAGTACTTAGTTGATATTCGTTGTATGTTTTACTCGCTTTATTGTGCTTTAAGAAACTTATATCTAGAATTTATCTGTCATAAATATATATATATGATCACCTTTTTTAAAGGAAGAGCATATCAAATATGAGATCATTTTTTTAATATGCATTTTTTTTTAAATCTAAATGCCATCTCTCTGCAACCTTTAGTTTAAAACTATAAAAATTGATAAGTTTACTTTTACTTTTATTTTTATCTAATCAAAATGACAATCTCCATGCTAATAGTAAGTTCCATTTTATTGTACCCAAATAGTATGGGGATAGATGGATCATTATGAACACCAGTAACTCTATAATTCTGTGATGTAAATCTGATCACTAACAATGTATATCTGATTACCAACTCTACTAAAAATGTTTAGTCTTTCATTGGAACTCTAATTTAACATTTCCATGCCTTAGACGTGAGGATGAGTGAGATGGGTACAAATAGATATCATATTGTTCAATCAGTTCTATTTAGTGTTAAATATGATAAGAAGTTGATAAACGTTGTTGAATGGGTTAATATAAGCAACGTATACAGTAAGCGAAAATTCAATGTATGGTGATAGGTTACAAATATTTGTACTTCAGATCACTTCGTCTAAAGAAAAAAAAATCTAATTTCCGTTCCTACAGCTTTTTCGATTATAATATTCAATTCAACAGGATTCAATTTAATCTCTATTTTTGTTCCTCTTATCATCAAATTAATTGAGTTGCTCAATCAGAAAGCCTATGACTTAAAAATGATATATGGCAAGTTACTACACCTTTTAATCTCTATTTTTGTGATGTAGGTTTGTACTGTGAGTGGAATACTGATGTTTGCAACACCCAAGTTTTCTTATTAATGGATCCTCAACAAACAAGAAAGCATCCTCGCATAACGACAGAAGCTTATGATAAGAATACCAACTATGCAGAGGCGGAGCTAGGATTTTTTGAAGTGTGTAGGTTCTAAATTTAGAATAAGATTATGACCTAAATCTGATATACAATATCAAACTGACTAAAGAATGAGTATTGATATTTAATATATATTCAAAAAAGTATGAAAGACAAACATAATATATGAATATAAACATTATCATTTCGATTGCACTCGACGGCTTGTCATGTTTTGAAAACGATCAATGATCGCATCATTAGGTACACTTTCAAATACTTCATCGTCTATAAAACAAACTAAACAATCATTCAAAAAGCCATCACCAATCCTGCTTCGCAAATCATTTTTCGTAAACTTCATTGATGAAAAAGCCCTTTCGACCGTTGCAGTAGCCACAGGTAATATCACACTCAGCTTCACAAGCAAATAAACAAGTCCCCATGTCTTGTGAATATTTATTTTAACCAATATTTTCGACAAATCACCAAGCCCTTCAAGCTAGAGAATGCATTGTTCATTTCTTGCACATAGTCAATATAGTTGTCAAGCTCACAACCAATATCTTCAAGCTTAGAAGCAGTGAACTCATTTGGATAATATGTAGCAAGATTGATAATCTTGTTTTTATCATAATTTGCAAAAGAACCATTGGGACTAAAACTAGCCATACCAAGAAGCAGGTCAGTATTCACTTCACTAAAATAATTGTTAAGCTCCAAAAGTTGCAAATCAATAGCAGCACAAAAAACCTCTACATACAAAATATGGGTATATGTAACAGTTGAGCTTTTACGCTTCGGCTTTCCAAGTGCATACTTCTCATCCATTTTTGGGATTACAATACCATTCTTATCACAAAACGAAGAGACATCTTCTATCAAAGAATTCGATTTAGAACCCTCACTGTTTGCAATTGCCTCTGTGAAATCAATAAGTTTCATTGCACTAAAAATATTTTGATCTTTTCTTTGTAGGGCCATATTCAAATCATCTATAATTGCCAATAGTTTTAACACCAAATATAATATACAAATGAACTCATAAGATCTTATATCTTCCACTAGACTTTTTTGCTAATGCTTTCTCCTAATAATTTGAACCCTCATTTGTAAGAACTCCAAATATATGAGCAATTGATGTGAATAAAGAAATAAAGTTATGCAATATCTTAAAGTGAGATCCCCAACGGGTATCACCTGGTCTTTGAAGCCCAAGTTCTTGATTTAATCCACTTCCTGTATGGACTTCACCACGCACTAATAACTCATCTAATTTTTCAACTTGACCATCTATAAGCATCTCCCTATGCTTATAAGAACCTCCAAAAACATTCAAAATATTAGCAAGAATGTCAAAAAAATATATTATGGTATTTTTTTGCAACAGCTAGAAGAGTCAATCGCAACTGATGAGCAAAGCAATGCATGCAATATGCCGAAGGATTATCTTTCAAAATCAAAGTTTTAAGACCTTTGATGTTTTCTTGCATGTTACTAGCTCCATCATACCCTTGTCCCCGTATTAGAAATGAACTCAATGAATGTTGTAAAAGTAAAGAATATATTGCCTTTTGTAATGCATGTGCAGTTGTACCTTTAATATGAACAAGACCAAGGAATCACTCAATAAGTTCACCCTCCTTATTGACATAGCGCAGAACAAGAGCCATTTGTTCCTTATGAGAGACATCCTTAGACTCATCAACTAATATCCCCAAAAAAATCCCCATTCAAGTCTTCAATAATTGCTTTTACCGTTTCTTTTGCACAAGAATTCACAATATCTTTTTGAATATCAGGATAAGTCATGATGTTATTTTTTGGAGATATTTCTAATACCACATTTTTCACATCTTCCTTCCTATCTTCATACCATTTTAAGAGATCTAAACAATGGCCTCTTCTTGTAGAAGTTATACTCTCATCATGGCCACGAAAAGGAATTCCATCTTCCAAAGATACCTTATCACATCAATTGAAGCATTCATGCGAACTCGATATTCACTTTTAATTTTCTCAGATTGCTTGTCCAAAGAAGTTAGAATGGATTGTGCTTGGTTCATTAAATCTAGCATCATCTTGAAACATCGATTATGAACACTATTCACGTCACCCACATGTGACTTAAGCCTTTCTAAACCTTTATTCCAACCTCTAAAACCATCCGCTGTGAAAGAATCACCTACTTTTTTCAATATCCTCCAACCTCATTTTTAAACAAGTAACAACATAAATAAAATGATGCATCTTGTTTAATGCTATATTCTAACCATTGAGAACATGAAGTGTTAAACCATTCAGAATTTAAGGGACGCATTATTCCTCCAAAATATCTTTTTGGAAAGACAAAACCACGAGGTTGACAAGGTCCATTTTGTATATAATTTCTCCTTATGTGGTCACGTAAATTAGGAGGATATTCTGAAATTGGTTTTCTTTCAGCAGGATCGGGCTCATAATCGAACACTTTATCCGATGCTTGGGAAGGATTAATATTGTTATTAATTACTGGACATGGAGAACATGTCAAGGGAGAGCTAGAGGAAGCTGCAGAAGCTTGATCTTTGTAAAAACTCGTGATCATATCGACTTTTTCTAGAAGAACCTAAAAATCACAAAACACAAATTCACATGAAGTTGTATTTTTCAAAATGCTATAACAACCTATTCTTTCTTCTTTGATATAGTTCAATTTGTAAACTATAATATGCTTTGTTCCCAAAAACTTAAAAACTTAGTCTAGCTAGCTAGTATATCTAGTAAAGTCATTTAATGTGTTTGTCTCACAAAGAGACCCACTTAATGAGGCCACCACATATGAAAGTATAATATTATATGAAAGAAGTCAGAGTACCCATATGAATGCAAGTTGATCTCACTAAAAAATAAAAAACAAGAAAGTTGTAAGGTCCCGTAAAAAAGTTTCTAAGATCCGAAATTTTGTGGTGCCAAGTTAGGATTATGTGTTAGAGATTGATGAAATTCTTCGAACTTTTTGGATTGAACAGTACGCTACAAAGTTAAAGGAAAATATTTTGCAGAAGTGTGTGTTTCTGCGGCCCATTATGTCGCCGCATAATCACTCTGCGGGCCGTAGAATGGCCGCAGAGTGAGGCAATCTTTTTTGCCAATTTTGAGGTCAGTTTCGCGGCCAATTATGTTACCGCATAATCACTTCGCGGGCTGCACTTTGGTTGCATAATCGTCCTTAGACTTTTGCGAAGGGAGGTTTTGCGGCGCATTATGCGACAGCAGAACAGGTGTGCGGATCGCATATTGGTCGCAGACCAAGGTAGAAAATTCAAGTCCCTGAGGGCCCCTTGTCGTGGTCATCTCGTGGACCGCATAGCCATTATGCGGTTGCATATGCGACCGCAGATCCGTGTCGGGGCTCCAAATTTCTAATTTTTAGACCCGATCCTATGTCGATATATCTCATGCCATACTTCAATTTGAGCCTATTTTTGGTACTTTTAAAGTGAGAAACAGAGTCTTAGAGTGAGAAATTGTTCTTCATCAAAATTACTCCTCAATTCTTGTTTAAACCTTGAAGATTGTCAAGAGAGGCACCTAGGTCTACTTCTTAAGAGGTAAGATTCTATCACCCAAACTCTTAATTTTCAAATGTAACTAGAATGGGCCTTTGGAAAGGTAATTCATCGGGATGGGAGTGGTTATCTCGCATGCATGTGTTATTAAAGAGTGTAGGGGAATTGTGAGCTTAAAATGATGAATAATGGAGTGTGGGATGATGGAATCTTTCACAAAAAGGTCTTAAAAATATAATGCACACCTAGTATTTGATAATGTGCTCAAATGAGCTAGAATCTCGATCATCCTTCTAATTTGAATTCAACTTGTTATATTCCTAAGATAGATTGAAGGTGCTAAGAGTTCCGGAATTATTATAGAATTTAAGAAAAGCTCAATTGTGGTATGTATGGCTAAAATCCCTGCTTCTTAGAATCGAATCCCCCGGTGTTCGTGTAGTTGGTGTAAGTCCCAAATTTGATCATATTAGAATTGATTATTCCTAATGTGTTGTGTTGAATGGCATATGTTCAATATTCGTTCTAAATGCATATCATGTCACCTTGCCCTTTTGAGAATATTTTTAAAGATGTGGAATACACGTTAACTAAGAGTTCAGGTCAAAAATCGGATAAAGATTGTTATGCCAATTTGTATGAAAAGCCTCTATGTGCTTAGGGTCTCCAAGTTGCTCCCTTATGTGTACAAATGCCTTACATGATTGTCCTTATTGTTGATTGATGATAATTTTAGTTGAATGTGTAACAAAGGGAAACTTGAATTGTGAAATACGACCAAGTGCCAAGAATGACTTAATAATTGAGGCCACTAGTGCCAGTGTATTGAAAAATGGGAAAGAGATATGAATTAGATGATTGATCGAAAGGTGGATGTCTCAAGTGAGATGGCCTAGCCGATCGGGCCGTGATCGGATGCCATGCCGCACACATGGTGGTAACTGTGATGGAAATGATAAATTGAAATTGTGGATATGGTTGATGTCTCAAATGACATGACCTAGCCGATCAGGTCGAGATCCAACTCCGTGTAAGAACACAGTGATATTGTGGATTGTGGCACACGGCACTAAATATCACCCAACCTAATAAGATGGAAATGATTGAGAACTTATGTGACCCTAACTTGATGTTTTAGTATTATTTGAAGCTCTTATTGAACTCATGTTTGTTTTTCCCCCTTGTATTATTGTTCATTCTATTGAGATGGTGCTTTAGCTTTACATACTAGTACTATTCGACAGTACTAACGTCCCTTTTGTCAGGAGCGCTACATTTTTAAATGGATGTAGGTGCTTCCACAGCAGACAGTGTTGATCGCAGCTAGTGGTGCATCCTCTTCTCGGCAGTCTTGGTGAGCCCCATTTCATCCCGGGGTTATGTATTGTATCTCTTGTTCATATTGTTACCACGTTTTGAGGTATAGTAGGGGCCTTATCGCCGCCATTATTATAACTATGTTTTGTATCTTTAGAAGCTCCGTAGATATTATGTGGGTTGTGTATGGGTGCTAGGAAGGCCAGACGGATTTTGCTGTGTTTTGGGCTCTTGTTCCACTAAATCGTAAAGTGTATGTATTTTTTGAACTTAACAATGATGTAGTAAAATAAAATGAATTAATAATGTTGTATATATATGATCCTTCTACTATTTAAACTAATGGAAACGCGCCTTCTCTTGGTCATAAGCGGGTTGGGTAGAAAGCGTCTAACAGGCTTGCTCGACCGGGTCCACTAGGTTGAGCGCCGATCGTGCTCCCCGAGGTTGGGGCGTGACAAACTTGGTATAAGAGCCTAAGGTTTTAAAGTGTCCTAGGATGTCTCGGAGTCGCGTCTGGTAGAGCCCTTCTTATCGGTGTGTTATTGACCACATCTACAATTAGGGGGCTACTTAGACATTTAGGAATAATACCCTTCTTTGTTGATCTATATCGTGCGATAGAACTGAATGTGAGGTTGTTCTCCTCTAACACGTGCAATATTCTAACTTTCAGTAAATGGCACCTAAGAAGAAAGCAAGAATTTGCCAAGAAGCCAATGCCACCCTAGGAGTGGCTGTTGATTCTCTACTTGATGATGCGGGTGAGGATAATCCCCCGACTATTACACTACCTGATTCTTCTACACCAGAACAGACTGCACCAGCCCCTACATCTAGTGAGGGTGCAACGATCCCTCCCACCGATATTCCTGTTCCACCTCCAGCCCCAGCTTCCGGTTCTGCTATTTCTGATGGGGATCTTAGGGGAGCTACCCAGATGCTGACACAGTTAGTGGCTTCTCAGGCCCAGAGGTCGAATATTGCACCCACATCTTCTAGTCAACAAGGGGATTCTACTGGTTCTAGGGTGAACAGGTTTCTCCAATTAGACCCTCCAGTGTTCACAGGTACTGA